ACGTCTCACTCCGATGGACTGGATTACTCACACCCCCATTTTATTTTTACAGGCGTTGCCTTATCATTAAATGATGACCTGACCTCGACACCTTGGCACCAGCTGTTCTGACAGGATTATTTCAAAGTGGTTGAGTACTTTCAAAATTATTAAAGTAGTGAGTTGTTAAAATTGCCGCCGGCCTAAAATAATTTCCCTGACAATTGTTAATTGCGTTCCTTTCGCAAATTTAGTTCACCAACGGCCATTGTAATGAAGTTTGCACATGTTCAAATCGGCTTTAACTTTGTGTCTCAAAAATGGCCCTACAAATGTTTTTGTATTGTTACTAAAGTAACGTTAACAACAGGTCATGTACTAATTTTATTATAATCACTGAATCATTGAATTTGATTAAAGGTTGAGGGGAGAATGAAAAGTTTAATACATTACACGCTACGAAAACTCTTTCAGTGCTGGGAGTTTCGTAGCTTGTAATGTAAATAACTATTTCAAACACTAATTATCTTATACTGTTTCTATGGTGCAATTAAGATTACCGCTCTTCTATAAAATACGTCGTCAATCACAATGTACTTTATAATAATACATAAAATACTCTTATCTTGCATTTTAATATCTAGTTATTTTATAAAGTAGCGATATGAGGTAGTTAAAAAATACTAGTGAAATTATTTCATAGTTTAAATTATTATTCTAAGTATAAAATAATGTATCTGTACAAAATAAAGTATGATATTAAAAGTAAAAGGGATGACTGGATGAGGATCATAACCTGGGGAATCAATTCAAAAAAAAATTTTTTGGAATAAACAAAAATTTAGGCATCTTTGGAAAAAATAAATGTAACAATGTTGTATTAAATAAAATATTAATTTTATTTCTTTGCTTAAACATCAACTTAAAAATTTGGTTATTAGCTAAACTATAGTCGTTAAAATATGTACATACAGATGCGCCAGAACTCGCGCTCCAGAGAAAAATTTCAAGTAGGATAGGATACCAGGAGCATGGATAAAATATTTAAAAAAATTATATTTGCCAAAAAATTTTGACATTTATTTTTTGACATTTATCATTTTTTAGGTCTATTTAATGATACTGATGATCTTGTATATGTTTTTTAATAATTATTTAGTAGAGGTACAAAAATTTTGCCAATAAAAGCCACAAATAACATTAAACAGAGTTACAATTCAGGATACAGCTTCCTTGTTTCCTCTTCTAATACTCTCTCTGTAGCAAAAAAACTTGGAAAATTATTTTTCCAACAGAAATAGAGTCAAAGTGCAAAATTTAAATTCTCATAACTTCGTAATTTTTATACATAGAATTTTTTAAATATTTTATACATGTTACCTTAGATGGCATTTTTCTATGGGGCGCGAGTTCTGGCGCACCTTGTATAACTTAATTAATGCCCCAACTTTACGTATGTATTTACCAATGAAAAGCTGTAATCAAAGGCAGTGATGGCTGATGACTTTACACACTTACACTTACACTGTCACATTTTTTGAAATCTCACTTTGAAATTTAGTTGATATTAAAATTTAAACCTAAATTCGGTGTTTTTTACTCAATTCAAACTGGGTACTTCATAATAAAATAATGTAAAACATACACCATAGCCGACTTTATTGTTACATGAAGTTACGGAAAAAATAGTTCAGTGTAATTTTTGCTCTAATACGATTGGTCTGCTGGTTGCTAACATTTTAAAATTGGCGTTCAGCTTACACTTTATGGACTATAATATTGTCTTGAATACCTACATTATTAGTTTTTAAAAATTTGTTGAATTTCTGGAAAGCTCTAATTTTTCTATTTTTTTTTTTTGAGGTGTGTGTGGTTAAAATTATGCCACACATTCTTGAATCACCCTATATACAAGATTATCATTCATCAGTAAGACAATAAGACATAATATACATATAATAAAAGTCAAATGTCAAAAAATAAATTTCAATGTTTTTCTACAGATAGAATTTTTTAACATTTTTTTCATGTTTTCTAGTATCTCATCTTACTTTCCATTTTTATCTGGAGTGCGTATTCTGGAACACTCTGGATTATTGCTACAGACTTATTTTTATTCCTACTGAAAGATGTTTCGTAATGGATTGGATAATAAAGAAACAAAAGCTCCCAAATAAAATGAAAACAGCTGCAATTAGTGCAACTCATGCAAGATTACAAAAAGAAAATATTGATAAATCAATATATTGATAAAAAACAGATATCAGTGTTTACATCAGTTTAATATTTAAACACTGGGGAAGATTGGAAGATATTTCAGATTTATACATACAAGTGGTCACCAAAGAATGTTTAAAAATATATTTTTTTAATGAATTTACTCTGAAATCAAAATCAGCAATGGTTGTACAGGGTTTTTATAAATGATTCTAACGTTCTAAAATTTGCCGTTTTTCATTGTTGAATCCGTTTATAACTTAGTTAAGATATTTTGCAAGATGCCCAGTTGGCTTAATAGGACGCAATAATAAATTTCTTCTCTTTAAGAACCACATAAATTAATAATCTTGTCAGTTTAAAAAAAAATGCAAATGCAATTTGAACGCAAAATTCGTAAATAAACGACTACCAACGTAAAATACATATTTATTACCTAAACTGACAACTTTCACTTTATTTATTGTACAGGTACAGTTATGTATACAGGGTGAGTCTTAACTTATAGGCATAATTTTAGGGAATGATAAGGTGCAGAACCAAAAATTTTAAAAAAACTTCAAATATTTAAAAAAAGCGGCTAAATTTAGGTATAGGGAAAGCTGATGAAAACTCCCTTAAAATAACCCGGTTAATCCAGAAACGCAGTAAAAAATATAACTTTCCATTTAAAATAAGAAAGTTGAGACCGACATCCGGTATAACCGGAAGTGCCGACATCTTGAAAATATTTTCATTTAGGAGGACTTAATGGTTTATGGCTATATATAATAATGCATAGCTTTTATATTGTTACGAATATGCACTACAAAATAGAGGAAGGCGGCGGCATGGGATGTCAGTGACAGTCAGTCATAATTAGTGGAATYGTGAGATCGACGTGAGAAGCGTTTCGTTGAAGATTTGCACTAGATTAAAAAGAATTGTATAACAATATTAATATCATGCAGTTCACACAAAATATTTGTTTCAACTTCATTTTTGGTTTCCATTAAAAAATGTTACTTTAATATGATAAATTAATTAAGTCTGATTCAATTTTAAAATTGTAATTTTTACGTTGGACACTTATAAACCCAACGAAGCAGAACAAAGTCTTATTTTATTTTTAAATTTGATTTTAAAGAACAGCATTGTCATCTTTGCAATATCTATCGAAAAATCTTGAAAAACAATAACAAAAATGTGCTTATCGTTATCAATAAAAATCTGTTTACGTTAATGAAAATACTGTTTGTTACCATTTATTTTCAATTTGGGATAGCGTCTTCTAAAAGATTTTTCGTGTTCTGTTCAGGTGATAATAAACAATGCAATCAACTTATCGTTTTTATTTAATTATTATAAAGGTCAACAATGCACTCGAGCTATATAATAACAAATATTCCAACAGAAATATTTAACCCTTTAATTGAAAGTTATTCCGTTTGTAGATAGCGCACCGATTTGGAGTATATTAGAAGAAATTGTGTTTTTTAATTTCATTTGTAGCTTCAAACATGAAAAGTTTTGCAATTTTGACAGTATGTGTCCTTTTTGGACTTGCTCTAGGGGAGAATCAAGGTAATTATTTTTCTTTATGTTAAATGATAAAAAATACTCTTAAAAATAACACAATTTTAGTTGACTCTCACATTGAGCCTTTTATGTTTGAAGACTTGATTAATAAGACAATTGAAGCTTTGAGACCTGATATTCCCGATCCCTTGAAAATTGCTAATCTCACAATTAAAATTCCTGACGGTATTGATTTATTGACGTAACATTTAGAAGAGCTAGAATTTTGCAACCTTTTACATTTAAAATTTTTAGGGGGGCTGCAAATGTGTCAAATTTTGAACTCACGGGTCTGCAAGGTTTCCAAGTGCCTTATTTGAATCTTGCAGTGGTGGGAATGAGGCTTAATTTTACTTTTGTTCTTCCATCTATCAATTTGTATACAGACTATTGGGGAGACCTTACTGTTGCAAATTTGGTGCCGTTTTACGGATCTGGCAAAGCCAAGTAAGCTTGTATAAAAATTGATTAATTTTTTACTAATTTTTTTAACAGTGTTCATATTTTGAACGCTGAAATTCAAGGAAGCGCTCAAGCCGATCTTAGCCATGGAATTTCGGTCAAAAATCTCCACATTCAACTTTACGTTGGATCAGCCTCTGTGAGTACTTTTTGTTATTACACTTAGAAATGAATGAATTGTATTTGTTTTGATTTTTTTAGTTTGATATTCATGGAGCTCTAGACAACGAAGATTTTAGTCAAATTTTGAGCGCTCTTCTTAACGATTTAGTGGCTTCGTTCATCGATAATCACCAAAAAGTTATTTCTGATATTCTTAGTCCCATCATCGAAGGACTTATCAACGCAATTCTGAGTGGTGGTAATTCATCGACGACGCCCACTTCAGCTACCACCGCATAAGAGGATTTGTTACTGCTTTAAAAACATTTTTTTATTGAAACATTGTAAAATTTGTTAAATAAACCTTATTAGAAATCTAAAAAAGTTAATAAACAACAATATTATTTACAAATTTATATAATCAACGAAATGTGTTATTGAAGTTGACTCTGAGAATTCTAGTCTTGAATCACAAAATTTGTACTGTCACGGAAGATAATTTCTAGTTTGTCTAGTAAAAATTTAATTTTTTAAGTTTTTAAATTGTTTGCAAATAAATTACAGTGATACGTCTGTTTTTAAAATTGGGTCTTTTAGTACTTATCAGAATTATTTTGAGTTTGACAAATGATGACAGTACAAATTTTTGAATCAAGCAAAGACTAAAGTTGTATTTCTCAGAGTGAACTTCGGTGTTTTGTGAAACCTATTAATTGCTGATTAATACACGAGTTTATTGCAATATTTTGGTGTTAAGCGTACTATTGGCCCTTTGCCTATACTAAAATCGTTCATTAATATCATTACTTAACATTTATTTATAATAATGGATGATTTTATACAGGCTGTGTCAGAACTCGCGCTCCAGAGAAAAATTTCAAATATGGTAAGATACCAGGAACTTGGAAAACATTCTATCTTTCAAAAAAATTTGATATTCAATTTTTTACATTTGAAATTTTTTATGTTTATTTAATTATACTGATGATCTTATATACAGGCTGAGTCATTTATAATAAAGACCCTGACCGATTTTTAGACGCAACCCAAAATACATTCCCACAGATAACTTGGCTTCAGTTACGTTTGAAAAATGTAGATTATTAAATTTAAATCAAAGAAATTGTTGATATGTCATTAATTAAATTTGACAGTGTCATGTACTCAAACAACGAAAAAACTGACATGATCTCGATAAGTGGAGAATGCTACAAAAATACTGTGGCTGAATCTGTACTGTCAAACGTACTCTGTAGGATTCCAATTTTTAAAAATAGTCAAAGCTATCACAGGTATGTTTGTTTATACCTTTGAAAAATTTCAAACAGAACATCAATTAACGCATAGTGGTATTGAGAATGTATTTTGGGTTGCGTCTGAAAATCGGTTAGGGTCTTTGTCTGGAAAGACTGTCCGGAAAGTCGTGCACCTTCTTGAAAGGGAGTAATTGGGTAGTCTCTCAGAATCAAAAAACTTTGACATTATTTTTTGACTTTTGACTTTTTTATGCCTATTTAATGATAGGTACTGATGTTATATATGTTTTTTTTTTATAATTATTAAGTAAAGGTATATAAATTTTGTCAATAAAAGGCACAAATAACATTAAGCAGAGTTACAATTTATGATACAGTATCCTTGTTTCCTCTTCTAATAGCTTGGAGCAAAAAAAACTAGGAAAATTATTTTTCCAACAAAAATAAATAATAATAATAATAATAATAGGTAGAATTTTTTTAACATTTTTTTCATGTTCCTGGTATCTTACCTTATATGGCATTTTTCTACTGCGCGCGAGTTCTGGCGCTACCTATAGACATACATTAATAAAGCCCATTAATAAACATTTAACGAAAAAATTGTATTGCATCTATATTTTCTAAATTCCGATTTCAACACGATAGCAATTGTTTTACTTTGAAATGACAAACAAAAAATAAAATTAATTTTTAAAATTGTAATCGCTATTTTAGACCAAAGGTTTTCTTGTATTTTTAAAATTGCGATCCCTATCTATTTATGGTTAAAAAATTTAAACTATTTATTTTAATTTTTAAGAGGACGGAGTAAAGTTCATAATTCGTGGTACTTTGACTCATTTTGTTAATTTTTACAGAAGTCGACTGATGCCATTATTGTTATTCATACTCGTATCAGTAGATATGACCATTGTATCAATAGATTTTTCAGATAAAATTTAGATTGTTTTTTACTAACACTTGAAACGCTTGTACTTTCTGCACCTGTAAGTGGAGACCCAATTTACAGAACAAATCATAAAGATTTTCAGTAAATATGTCGAAATATTGTGCTGTCTTTTTGGCAATAATTTTGTGCGGAAATGCCTCATCTTCGGACATTTCGAGCATCTTAGACGATCTAGGTGAGAATTACAAATATTATGTAATGTGTACTTTAACATCAATCTTTCAGAGCTGGAAGGTGAAATTGAACCATACGCATTTGAAAATACAATCAATGCAACAATTCAAAGTCTCAGAGCAAACTTGCCTGATCCCTTAAATCTTGATCTTACAATTCCTCAACTTACTTTTACCGATGCTCTTATAAAGTAGATACCCTGTGATTTTTTAATATGACTATTTTTATCTTTAAAAATCCTTTACAGTGGTACCCTGGATCTGTCAAATCCCAGTATTATAGGACTACCAACTTTCTTGGTACCTAAATTAAAGTTTCAACTAATTGGGTACAAATTGAATATTACAATTTCGTTCCCCACGCTTCAAGTCAGTCCTATCTATGATACAGATTTGTTTCTCTTGACCGTTTTACCCATTTATGGAAACGGCACGGCAAAGTGAGTACAAAAGCTTTTATATCTGTTTAATCAAAAATGATGAATTCTTTTACAAATAGCGTTTATCTGAATGATCTTAAGTTGGCTATCTATCTTGAACTCAAGACTTCGCCTGCTTTGAAAATTGAAAACTTCCGAATTGTTATAACTTTAAAGGATATAAAGGTAAGATTTTTATGATATTTAACTTTTGTATATCTACTGTAATCGTTTTAGCTTGACATTGAGGGTCTGTTATACGATGAGGAATTCAGTAAATTTGCAAGTTCTGTGGTAACAGGCCTTGCCAATACTTTTATTACTCCTTACATCAATGACAACGCTGACCAAATTAGTGACACACTTAGTCCGATAATCCAAGACCTAATTAACGAAATCATAAGTGGAAACAACAACAACAGCGAAACCAAAACAACACCAACTACTAATGCCCCAGTTACAGATCCAGATTCTGAAGCTAAAGTAACCATCAAAGAATTACACAATCTCTTAAAAAATGCGTTACCTAATATTTTTTGAATATACGAAATAAAATAAAACATAACAAAATTAAAATTGCAATTAATTAAACACAAATAAAAAATAATTTATTTTTTCTCATTTGACAATTTTAATCTAAGTGTTAAAAAATGTTTGTCATTCATTTTCAATGAGTCTAAAATATACATTGGTGATTGGTTCTTGTTTCACTGATATCGCACTGGAGATTTTATCTCTCTGTTAAACAGACATGTTTTTTGCCCCGTTTTGACCCGATTATTTCAAATGGAGTGGTCCCTCTGTTTAACGGACTCTCTCATAAACGGACGCGGACACCCAATTCGGTACGTTGAAAACAAAATCTCTCCTTTAATTAAGCGGACAGCATGTCATGCGCGCATATGTAATTTTATGACTAATCGACGAGAAAATTCCTGGAATCACATACAGAATGCGCCAAAACTCGCGCCCCAGAGAAAATTTTCAAGTAAGATAAGATACCAGAAACATGAAAAAAATGTTTAAAAAATTCAATCTGTCAGAAAATTTTGACAATTAGTTTTTGACATTGGACATTTTTTCATATCTATTTAATGATACTGATGATCTTGTATATGTTTTTTTATACTTATTTAATAAAAGGACAAAAATGTTGCCAATAAAAGCCACAAATAACATTGAACAGAGTGACAATTTAGGATACAGCTTTCTTGTTTCCTTTTTTAATAGCCTATAGCAAAAAAACTTGTAAAATTATTTTTCCAACAGAAATAAATAGAGTCAAAGTACAAACTTTAAACCCTCATAACTTCGAAATTTTTATACCCTGTATACATATTCAGATTCAAACTTCAGCAGTGGTGAAATTCTGTCTATCTTTGTGTTCTTACGTATTACATATAAATACTACTTGTATTAAGTTAACGAAGAAATAGAGAATATTATACAGTATGTCCCCGGATTGAGTTGAAGATAGAAATATGGTGTCGCGGACTTTTTTGTAGCAAATTTTATTCTCTACAATTTTGTTTCTTACACTTGTATATTTAACCATGTTTACAGCGTTCTTAAAAATAATGGCGGAACACAAACTGATAATAATTGTTATAATTTATTTTTAATACTGTTTTCGATATTTTTGAGAATGCTGCGAATACGGTTGAAGATAAAAAAAACCATATCTTATCTTAAATTAATTTTCTGTCTCTTGACCACCGGTAAAAATGAGCCGTATTCGTCGGTTGAGCGTCTTTGAACGTCTTTAGGACCTAAAACATTAAAAATAGAGGTATCACTCGCGGACTTTTTCTTGGAAATTTTATTCTCTACAACATTCTTTTTTTTTCTTTTTTTTTTCTTTAATCGTATTTGTAGCATTTTCAAAAATATGACCGGGGCGCAAATTGCTAAATGTTTTTTAATATAGTTTTCAATAAAATTTTTGCATTACCTTTCTCTCTTATTATTGAGAATTTAATGCTCTATCTGTCTATATTTTTTTATTTGCGTTATGTAAATACAGCCATTTTTTTATTTCATTGCTCTTAAAACTTAAACGGAAAAGGAACAACTGCGCTATATGGCCTCGCTAACGGAACTATCGAGGGACTAACGAGGACGTTTTTTTTTACATCGTGTCGTATCCTAGTCTTTAGGTATCCGTAGATATGTTCCTAAAAAAACAATTGGATTTAAAGTCGGATTTAGACAACTCAATTTTTACAAAATACAGGGAAGTGGCCGCTATAAAATGACCACGACTTTAGATAGCTCGCTTTATACGAAGTGACCCAGAAAGGAGAACGACTGTTGGTAACAGATTTTAAAGTATTTTTGTTAATAATTTGCAAAACTGCAACCGAAAACGGTTTTGCTTGACAAATACTTGACATACAACCCCTCACGATTGTTGAATTGTTGTTAATCAAAAGCTCGATCAAAAGCGTATTCCAATAGTAACTTTTAAAAATTATAGTCATGATTGCCAACAGATTCATTCATTCTGGATCACTTTGTATATTAAACAAATCAATTTAAATATGGGAGTAGAAACAATATTTTGGCTATTAATACAATATTGCAAAATAATGTTTGCATTCTTAAAGCTCAAAAATTAATTTCGAATAGGTATGTTTATAAATACGATGTGTGCTGTTGGTTGCATACATAATGCGCTACAGTTAGTATTTATTATGCTCTCCCACAATTTTAAGTTTAAAATTCTTACTTACAATCATCATAATAAAAAAATAGGCAAAGAATCAAAAGAATCATTCTAATTTGTTTTGTAGTTCCAAAATGTACTACTATTACAAAATTGAAACCTCGTGCACAATGGGAAACGTTTTTAAGTGAAATAGAATACAAAAAATTAATTTCTGCATTAAAGAAAAACATACGCAATTGTGTTATAACTGAATGCTAAAAATTCTAAAACACAAATTTAGACCCAAAAGACTACTATGTTTAATAGAAGCAGTACGAGTTAACCCATACACTTTTAAGTAAAATAAAACAAAATTTCTTTTTGTTTAGTAGTTTTTTTAGTTTAGTAGTTTAAGCCAAATTATTTATTGTGATTGTCATGGCAAGTACCACCGATGGACATAAAAAAACTCAGACAACCGTGACAATTGTATAAGTAAAAAAATCAGAAGTTTGAAACACAATGAGCAAATTTTGGATGCCCCAGCATTTAAATGTTCATCGATGGACAAGAGGAAAACATTTCTAAATTTCTAAAGATTCTTAAATTGTACCTATACAGGGTGTTCGGTCCAGGTCGCCCCGTCTGATGACACCTAAACTTACTTCTTTTTTTCAAAAAGTAAATATTTAAGTAATAATATTTATTTTTGGCTTCCTTAATAAATGTATTAAATTTTTTTAGCACATCCGGTGTTGCCGGAAATGCTACCAAATTTAGTTTTTCAAATGAAACACCTACGTTTTTTTCCTCCAAACAATAATAATTCACATGAAAAATACTGTAAACCACTATTTATTACATTTTGCGTAACACAACAATCCAAAAACATCTTAAATCTGAGAATTTCATAAGAAAATTGGTCGCGTAGCCTGATTTTTTATTTTAAAAGAAAGGTGTGAATAAAAAATGCTTGGATACAGTTTAATTGTTGGTTTGACAAATCTAATTTGTCAGTTGATGAGCGAGTTCTCTTATGGAAACTCTTGGATTTTCTTCGACTGATAACAGAATATTCAGATTTCTATTTTCTTGTTCTTCACAAAAAACCACAGGTTTTTTAGTTTTAAGAAGCCAACCTATTCGTCTCAGTTGTTTCAATTCGACTAAATTTCCAACGATTTGGGTGAACTCTATTTGAGTATTTTTCTTTATACTGTCTTTCAGCTTCCGCTCTATTTTTATTGCACTTAAAAACACTTCAAGCTGATCGTCAATTCAATTCGTCGTAATTAATATCATCCATTATTAAAGATCTCAATAAGATTTATTGACAAATTAGGCTTTGTCAAACTAACAATTAAACGGTATCCAAGCATATTGCTTTTTGCATGAATACCTTGACAAGTAAAATCCGCCTACGTTGCAAAATTTGCAATAAAATTCAAAAATTTTAATTGTTTTCTGAGTGCATTATGTGAAGTACAATGTAATAAATAGTCGTTTACCGTATTTTTCATGCCAATTATTATTGTATCGAGCAAAAAAACATAGGTGTTCCATTTGAAAAACTAAATTTGGTAGCATTTCCGGCTACACCGGAAGTGCCAAAAAATTTGATGCATTTACTAAGAAAACGAAGAATGAATAGTATTATTTGAAAATTTAGTTTTTGAAAAAAAAGTAAGTTTAGGTGTTATAGGCCGGGGCGACTTGGACCAAACACCCTGTATAATTACTCTTAATTAAATACATACATAATTAAATCAATAGTTTTATCGATTGAATGATGAAGAATTAACTGTTTAGAGTTAACTATTATGTTTGTTGAAAAAAATTGTAAGTATAATTATTTTGTAAGCAAAGAATTAAAATTGTATTAAATAAAAAAAGGTGAATGTGATTATTTATTCGCACCTGACTTGCCAAAGTGTTTTAGCCTAGATTTCTGTTATTAGCAAGCAACCTCAAAAATCGTAAACCAAATAAAAATATTATCGTGTAAAAGAAGAAAAACATATTTTTGCATAACACATTTATCTATACTAAATTATCATATAGGTATTCCTTTTCTATGAAAATTAGACTCAATTTTTTTCTGCATATATTTCAGTTTAAAAGCTCAAGTTGATATCGAAAATTCTTAAGGACACTCAATAATTATTTCCATGATATTTGCGATTTTTTGGTGGTTTTGCCCCATCCTGTCATTTTTCTCCCACTCCCATAAGACTTACGAAACTTCCCGAACTCGAACAGGTGAATCCCGAATGGTACCGAATTCTAATTCGTATTTCCCTCTATTTCTCATTTCACGTGTGACTGCTGTTGTGGAGATTGGTGTTTGTTGACTTGAGTGACTTGAGTTTTCGTAAATTGACTTCAGTTCTCCATGTGACTCGAAGATGACTCATTAAGTGTTCTCTCGCGTATTTTCCACCTTTTCTTAAATATGCTCTATTTTAATTCTTCACCTCATCGAAAAAACCAATTTAATTTAGTTGCGGTGACTCATTAGAAGATAATTAGAATTACATCAGTCGCTATAAAAATGGCAGTGTTTGGCAGTTTATGTTTGATTTTTTTGGTTTTGCGTTCAGTGGTGACCATCGAGGATTATTGTTCCTTGAACACATACAGCACCAATGGGACTTTTATGCAATTTACGAAAGAACCCAATGTGGAAGAATTCGCCATCGCGGGGAAATTTAAAGGACTACATTGTTGCGCTAAAGGATATCGCAGCATTGAATGGTTTGTACAGTTTTTATCTTTATTGTATTAATAAATAAGTGGATTAGCCAAATGACTGAAATATTGCAACTTGTCTAAACTTGTCTTTAAAAACCCATCAGTTGGTTCTGACTCATTCTTGAAGATTATGGGTTTGGTAATCTATTTTTTGCAACGAAACTCAGGTAAACCCAAGAACAGATGGGTTTCGAGTACCACCAACGTAAACGAAATCCTTTTT